TATGAAGACAATATTCAAAAGAATAAAATACATAGAAAGATATAAATTGATGAACAATTAATATAAATTTATACAAATGTTTACAGTGCAAACTTTCAAACACTGATTATCATGTCCTCATTACATATTTAAGCTTGTATAAAGCTGAAATTTGAATATGAATTTCAATAAATAATTCTAACTTATCAAAATGATTTTTAGCACCATTTTAACTTTTGTTAGTATGAAATCTATTGAAGGCTGAATTGAAATGGTTTTTAAGTAGGAGACTTATTTTGAAGAAGGGAGAACAAATCACTTCACTACTTTAGTACTATGCCAAAAATTATTTAATTACTCTATAAATTTAAAATTATCATGAGATAAGCATTCTGAAAGGTCTAGTTAAGTAAATGTTGTAGTTTGGAAAGAACTTGGATCAATTAAAATTGATTTTACAAGTATGCACAGACATGAAGGCAGGAAAGACTTGCCAAAGGCCTATATATCAGTTTTGGTTTGTTAAAGGGCTAATCATTTTAGGACCTGAAGCCACTTGCCATAAAAAAGTGTAGATGTAAAAATGAATGAAGCCTCAGTAAGTGATTAACATACAAATGTTAGTCAAATCCTAGATTCAGAACAAATTTTGGTGATTGGTAATTTTCTACCTTTCAGTGATTCATGCACACTGAAATTGGTTGCCTATGACTATAGATGTGCATACCTGAATTTATATGCATGAGTAATGTGCAAAAACCTGCAACAGTGTGCATAGAAAACAGCAGCACATTGAGATGCAAAGATATGTCAATGAGAAAAGAATTTAGAGGAAAACACTTTTTTTTTGTATTTAAAAAAATTTTCAGGGAAAAAATTAAAATCTAAACTATGCAAGAGAAAATTGAAGGAAAAAAAAAAAAAAAAAAAAAAAAGCGGCATCTTATCCCAGAAATTTAAAAACTGAAATTGGAATAAAGGTTTAGTTGGCTTCACACTTGTAGATTAAAACAAAAGAAAATCTATAAATACATTCAGCTTAGCAATGATTCTCACTTACACCAAATGGACGACGACAGCATAGCATCAAAAAGGCTAGAATTAACGTATCACACAAGTGGATTTTGCATAAAAGATGTTTTTATTCATAAGTATGTGATGTCTGCTATGAATTTATCAGGTATCAGCCATTCCAGAGTGTAGTCAAAATCTGACAATGTGTAGAACTGCAAGAAAACTGCAAAAAATCCAGATAAATAATGAGACAGATGACACCAGCCAAGACTTAATGAAGCTTGTTATATACAGTAACAACAAAGCATTAAGAAACTCTACCCTTTCAGACAAAGCTTTTATTTGTTTCTCTGATTCTTTTCATGCTCTGTCCCAGACAACCAGAGATGTTTTCTTTTTCAATTTATATTCTTCATAGAAACCACTATGGCAACTGGTATCTGTTCATTTTTGTTGAATACAAATTTAGAATTGATAGCTAAAGTGACTAAGAAAATGGAAGCAAAGACTAAGCATGTGGAGCCCTCCAGAGACAAAGAGATGAAGTAGGAGTATGCACCTGGGTCGAGCAGATTGGAAAACCAATGGCAAAAAAAAAAAAGAAAAAAGTAAACAATGTCTAAGTATTGAAAGATGGCCAAAAAATCAAAGGGAATGGCATATTTTAGGTATTTAATAATTAGTATTATTAGATTAACAATAAACAGTATAAGTATTTTAAAACTGCTGGCATTTTGTTGGGCACAGCCTTTAAAAGTGAAGTGGAACAGAACAAAAAGTTGAAATTACACCATCTCTATAGATGGAAATGGCATGGCATTGAAATCCTTGGAATGGGGGCATAGCTAAATAGGGTCTGCAGTGGATGCGCCAATAAATGAGGTATTTAGTTTTCAAGAGAGGCATCCCAACAACAAATATGAACAGAAAAAGCTGAAATACAAAATTCATTAATTAAACTATTAGACACCATTATAGATACTCCAAAAACTGATATAAGAGAGAAAAAAATTACAGAAATTGACAAGAAAGATGTCTTGAAGTAAATAGGCATTGAAAAATTAGGAACTAATTTAAAGGATTAATTACAAAATCAGAAATTTTGCACAGAATATGGTGAAAATAATTCTGTGAATTAAGTTTTTTTTTTCTTCAATATTATTTGTAAAAATCAATTTTCATAAATGTATTTTTCCTACAGAGGAAAAAAACTATGCATTTCATAAAGTAAAATACAAATAAATTAAAAGGTGAGAATCTGAATTTTTTCATATTATTAGATAAAGAAATAATTGTTCTTGAATAAGTTTTGTAATTTTTCAATGTTGAAAAAGAGTAAACATGTTTGTTTTTTGATACTTGTTCTTAAGTAAAAATAGGATTCATTGGGTCTTAAATGAAGTCAGTTTAAGAACAGTTATGGTTTACTGTCTTTTTATTAAATTTTTTCAAAAGTAGCCAGGACTGAATGTAATCATTTTTAAAGTGGGGGGGGGATGACTGGTGGTTTAAGAAGTTTTAGCCAATACAAATCCAACTGCTCTAATTTTGTACAGATGATGGAAAGGTTTATAGCTTATAATATAGGGAAAACTAAGTCAAACATTTAACATCAATAAGAAAATTTTGAATCTCAAAAATATCAGAATGGAGGCAGGTATTTAATATTTTAAGTATATTAAAATGTAGAGCAGATTTAGATTGTAAGATTGGGTAGAATCAGACATAAATATTAGCTATTATTGATATATTTTAATGCATGTATCACCAGTTAGGAGAGTACATGGTGGGGAAGGAATCCCCCTCAACAGAAATACTGGAGAAATCTAACATATATAGTTGGCTGTTAAATTTATTAAAAGAAGGAAAATGTTAAAGCTCTTTGAACAGATAAGAGTAGAAACTAGTAAATTGGAAAAGTATTCTAGACATGGACATACACACAGTTTTATGCTTTCAAAAATAGGAGGGTATTATATGAAATGAAGATGTATACATTAGAGTTATACATGATATTACATTTGTGCACAAATTTAATTTTCTTGAATGTCATCTATTATAATTCCAAGACAAACATAACACAATTGTTTCTCTTAATTAGTGATAGTCTAACAGGAAAAATGTCAATTTTACCTCCCACCCATGAATTTTATATATAAGAGATAAAGAGAAAATACCTAGGATATCAGTGTTGTGTAAGCTTGAACCTTACTAGAAATAAGTATACACAATTAATGTTCATGGTTGTTATTTAAAGTACATGCACAATTTAATACTATAGTTTACTACAATTGTAAAAGAAAGCCACAAGAAGGAGAAGAGTTTCTGTTTTCTGATTAACAAATATATCTATATGTTAAAATAGGGAATGGAGACAGTAACCTATTACAAACATCTATGGTACGTCCGTCTTTAGTTTATAGTTAAAAGCAGATCAGAACAATTTTGTATGTGTGTATGCTCAGAGGATACACTACAAAAAAAATTAAAAAAAAAAGTTCTTTGCTTCCATTAGAAAGACAATTGAAAATAGATTTAAGATAACAGAATATGGAAAACTAGAAAAGCAGAAAGGTAGATAGGAGTGAGATTTGGTTAAATGAATCTAGTAATATTCAGTAGTAAAGACATCAGCAGTTTGAGGAGTTGGATTTGGTAGGGTTGGGAGGAAAAACATTAAATCTCATCTTCCACATTATTATTATTGTTATGATAGTGAAGAAATCAAAGATCAGCCAATATTGTCCTACCCAATCTGAGGCTATCTAATAAAGAGAAAGAGTCTTGCACACCAGCAGAGATTTGAGTGTATTCACAAAAAAGTGATTTACATTATTTATTTTCTTCCTTAGTAATCCCTAGTACAAGACTGGACAATAGCACTTCTTCTGGCCAAACACAAAAAAAAAAAAAAAAAAAAAAAAAAAAAAAAAAATAAATAAAACACAAAAGGACAATTTTTTTTTTTAAATGACCTCAGAAATGCAGAGTAAAACACCTACAAAGGAATGTCAATGCATACATTTCAAATGCGGTCAGCTTGTCAGGGTGGCTGTACTGTCCTTTCAGATGGTGGTTGGTTTAGACAGAATGTACAGCTAGACAAGATTTCCAACTCTTGAATACACATTACAATGCTACACACACACACTGGGATGGTATATAGCATCGGAAATTAAATCACAGTCGTCATAATGAACTACGAAATTTTCTTTTTAGAGTCTGCTTAGCAAGAAATGGTATCATTATCATTGCTATTATCATCATCAATATTATTCTTATTTTTATAGTAATAATAGTAATTATAGTAATAGTTTTTAATTGAAAATGTTGGCTTGTTTCATTCCATTGTAATGTTAACATGCCAGTGGAAACCCAAATATCATGGATAGATCACAAGAGCCATCACTATTTAAAAAAAAAAACAAAAACAAAAAAAAACAAACCAAGAATAGTTTCCTACAAGAATGTTTAGCAACTGAGGAGATATGAAACCTATATTGGATGGTCATCTAAAAAATTGGCAGCAGGTTTAGAACTAAGTAAGGGCCTTCTGGAAAGACTTGATATGCAAATTACCAGCAGGTGCTACTGACCAACCATTTGTTTTTTGTTTTTTTTTTTTTTTTTAAATAAAGTGGGGGAAAAAATATTGCCTGGCCATGCATTTCTATGAAGATGGCACAAACTGCAGTGGTGTGTGTGTGTTTGCAAGTGTGACTACTTTTTGCATGTATGGCTAATGTGTATAGGTGAACTGTTTTCTATAATTGTTTTGTTTCGTGGCTTATTTGTGCTAAATGAGTTGTGTAGCTTTGTAGCACCTCCTATCCACAATATTTGGGAACATCTGCAAAAAACTTGCAGAGATTGGAATGGTTTTTTTTTAATTTTATTTATTTATTTTTCTCTCTCAATATTTTTTTTTCCTCTTCTCGCCAGTGGTTGTCTTCATTTTCATCCAGTCGTGTCATCGCGATGCTGATCCCATGTGTTTACAAGTAAGGCTAGCAGCCACAGCCCTCTTTACTGGGTGCTTGGTCTGTGTTGAGTGCATTACGAGGAGCAGACGGTTTATGCTGGACTCCAGACTCGGCGGCATTCAGGTCCAGACTGAAAGTATTGCAAGAGAATATTGTAATTAACTGCCCAAACAAATTAAAAAGAAAGTTAGAATTAAATAGGGAAAAAAAAAAAAAAAATCTGTGTTTCAGATAAAGACTTTGAAGAGTATAACTAACCCTATATTCATAAATAGTGCAAAAATAAAAAAGATGAAAACTTGCATCATTTGTTATAAGCCAGCAAATCACATCAGGTAAAATGATTACAGGCCTGGGACAAAAACTTTATTTTAACTTGATTAAAACCAGAGTTGCTGTCTGAAATTTTGCTGTTTCCATGTAAAGGTAATGTTATATAACATCCTATTCATCATAAGACAAGACTAAAATCAAGTGTAGGAGTTTAAACAAGGTTTTTGTTTAAACTCATACACTCAATCTTAGTTTTGTCTTATGTTTTTGGGCTCAAGTAGCTTTAATCATACACTGTTACTTATGAGAATGTTATATACCGTACCTATGAACACTATTGGGGGCAATATGCTGTCTAAGTACTATTGCCTTTTTGCTTAGTGGTTTTATGTGCTGGACCAGCTTGTGTGTTGAATTGCGATTGAACTGTTAAGTTTTTGACTTTTTATTTTCTGAAACCTTTTTGAATTTTTCAGTTTTTCCCTTTCCTTTTATTTGTGCATTTTTTCTTTTCTTTATTTCCCCTCTTGTACATTGGTCAGAAGTACAGGCAAAGGCTGACATGGCCGGTCAGACTTGGCATCATTGGAAGTTGTCTGAAGGGCAGAGCAGAGGTGTATGTGTCAGTTATGTCTTTTCTCTTGTCCTTTATTGCTTGTCTGTACTTCCTCTCTGTAAAGATCATAAGAAGGCGCTTGTTATCCTCCATTTTATGGAGGGATACAAGCATCAAGTCGACAGAAGTCTGTGCACAACATCCGTGTCATGGGGTCTGGGAATGTTGCACTTGGCGAGTCACAAGCTCGCCTCGAGGCTGGCTTTTTTGTGCCACTCATTGACAGGGGATTTGATTATGGTGGGGATTGTAAGGGATGCCTTCCCTTCCCTTACTATCAGTACCCCTATCTCGGGGGTTGAATGCCGTCGAAAACCCGGGGATCAATCAGATTTCCTTTGCAAATGTCAATATGCCTTGACAATCATTCCTCAGTCTAAGAAGGTCTTCTATCGCCAACTAGTGAAGGGAGTCATGAAGAATCCCCTAGATGAGCAGCTCAACTTGTTGGAGGAGGAGTTTCACTCTTCCTGGTCATGGGTGCCAGTGGCTGATTACCTCAGTAACCCCCAATTTTTACTTACCTGGCAACTAGTTCGGAATAGGCTATCTCTCAATGACAAGGCCTTCATATGGGGCTTGGCGGATTTGCCAGACTGTGAATGATGTGACCTTGGTTTAGAAAAACGGCTTTGCACGCCTTCTACCATTGTTCTTGGGTTTACCCCACTATGGGACCATGTCGGTGAGTTGACGGTTTGTATCGCTCCTGAAAAGCTTGTGCTTATCGCACATACGTGTGTTACAATGTGTCACCCCTGTATTTTAGAGTGAAATGAATGGTGTTTCTAACACTGCTGGCCATGGCCTGAATGGTGATTTGGACGATGCAACAGGAGGAAGTCTTGTGAGGCAACTGTCTTTCTCATCAGGATCTGATCTGATTCTTTGAGCATCCACTCAAGATGAAGATTAGAACTGATAGAAAATGCTTGCCTTTGACAGACTTTAGCAAAAGGTGGGTGACTGAGGCAAGCTTGGTTTGTTTGAACAGGACTAGCCTTGATTTTCTCTTTTAGGTCTACCGATATCCCATCGAGGTGGTTTCCTATGGATTCCTCCTCTGGTTAGGCTAGACAAGCTTTGTGTACCTAGTTAATATGAGTAAGTGCTGCTCTCGGCTACATCTTTCGTTATGATCCAAGTTGAGATTCCCAACCTCCCCAGTTTGTTTTTGGCCCCTTTTCATCTTGACTGGGTCAGCTTTGTTTATTTCCCCATGTCTGTACATATTTTCTCCTTTCCCTCTCCCTTGGCAAGAGAGCCTCTTGATTTTGGCCAAGGGCAGAATACAGCGGCCTTTTTTTTTTGAGGGTTAGATTGTATAATAGGAAGTACTAGATTCCCGTTGATTCAAGACTTTTTGCTATTTGGATTTAAAGGCATGTATTATATCTGGTTATACTACTGTTGTTTGATGTGCTGAAATAGCTTGTGTTCTTCTTGTCTGGTTTTTTGCATGTCAAGAGCGTTCTTTTTGACCGAGAAAAAGCTGGTGTTCTATAGCTCTCTCAGTTCCAGACCAATGCTGACTATTCGCTACCCAGTATTGTTTGTATGCAAATTTTGTCAGTGCCACCTACTGTAAGTAGACTGTCTTCTCTCAACAGCCAATTGCGGAAGAGGACATAACTGCTGGTGCTTGCTGCACCACATGTAACCAACTCTGGGTTAGAGAATAGTAAAAAAAAAAAAAAAAAAAAAAAAAAAAAAAAAAAAAAAAAAAAAAACAAACACTTTTTTTTTTTTTGAGTTGCAAGCTGCCCACTTTCCCTGCAGCATTGCAATTGACTTTTTGCCAACTTTTACTGTACACCAAAAAATGTGTCCTTTATCGTTTATCAGGATAGTAATAAATCATACATCAGTGACATCAATTTAATTCCAATATTATTTAAGAGGTACATCATGTTAAAATATTACAAGTTAATAGTGATTTTTTTTTTTTTTTGTGTGTGTATGTGGAACCTGGGCATCATTTTCCTAGACAAACTTTACTTGATATATCCAATCTCACGCTTTGTGTCCTGTCACTTCAGTGCAAGCTTCAATCATCACTTTTATCCCTCTTTTGACCGACTGAGTACTGTTTGGCCACTCGGGCACTAGTAATTGTGCCTCAAGAATGCCATTAACCTGTTGATCTGACAGAGAAGCAATGTAAGAAGGCTAGGTCTTGAGTTCATTCATCCAGTTAATCATGAAATGATAGTGTTTTTGTTTTTTTTGCTTGTCACTTATTTGAGAGTCACCAATTTTCTCATTGATTACAGGAGGTAAATCCTCATTCCCATCTTCACTGACCTCCTTATAATCAGTGTAGTTTAACAAATCCTCATTAACAGCAGCAGCAGAATCTTCCTTCTCATCAGATCTGTCACTGCATTCTTCCATCTGCTGATTTTCCGCTCTAATTTTTATCATCATTGAGACAGCTTATTCTCTAACAGTCACGTCCTCATCTACACACATACCAAGAAAAAATTGATCTGATGCAAAGTATGCATTTCTCTGGACAATCTTCTTCCCTATCATCTTCTGCTTACTATTCAGGTTTTTCATATATAGCAAGGATTAGAATACGTTCCTTGAGTCATATGTATCATGATGTAGAAACACATTGGAGCACTGAACTTTATAATTGTAATGAGGATTCTTTTCGGCTCATGGCTGTGACATGGTGTTGCTACATATAGCCTGAATATTCTACTTCATAACGTATTCCATCTTGACATGCAGGGAGGACCTGGCCCAATAGCAGCCAAGTCATCAACAACACCTGTAAGAACTCCTTTATAAATCCTATACAGGTATTTCTGATGCCAGGACAGATCTTTCTCCACTTCTTCATTTAGGACAGGGAAATCAGTGAAACTGACTGGCTGGAAACCAACAACAGGCAGCTCCGACAAAGGCTCTTTGATCTGCTTTTCAATGGGACCACATCAATGCTTAGGACCACTTGGTTTACCATCATAGTGATCAAAAACAGTGCAGAGCTGACAGATGAAATAATGGAGCAAGTGACCAAGTAAAGTTTCAAGATGATAAATGGCTCCATTTTTCTGATCCTACATTTACATTGGTTCCATCACTACCAATACATTTTTCTCCCTCAGAAACTTGTGAATAATTTTGACAATCTGCTTTCTGTGTCTAGTTTTGGGAGTTACATGTGTGAAATATTCATCGCCAGGCTTAACCATGATGACATAATGATCTTGAGCCATCATCCTGGAACTCCATTTATTGCTTTTCTCATTCTTTATTATCATATGAGTGGCCGTCTTCTTACCATCAAAATACAATGACATCATTTTCAAAACTAGGCACCTGAATTTCTTGCCTCTTCAATTGGTATTTTTGTCTTGCATCTCATAGCTTATGTGGTCCAATAACTTGACTCTTGTCATCCTTTGTGATAATGCCATAGTCAGTTAAAGCAGTAGTATCAATGGCAGTTCCAGCATAATCACTGATCAAGAATTGGTCACAAGTGGCAGCCAATGTGGGGAGTCTTGTTCTGTGAACTGGTATCTGTCAGAGCTTTTGGATTAGGGACAAAAATCAGCATCAATACTAACAGGAGGGATATCTCTTGAATCATCTGAATTATCCTCAACATAAGGAATATATCCAGTTACCAGATCTCGGTGTCTGCATCATGCTTCTCTCAATGTCACTTTCATGTCAATCCCTGTAATTTTCATCTTGCTATCATTTCACTGGTCAAGGAGGAACTGCACCTCACATTTGGGAAGTTTTATATCACAATTACAGGTTAGGTGATACCCATCACATGTCTTAACTTTTCACTTTACATCCTGACAGGAGACAAGGGGGGACAGTAACAGCAACAGATATCAAACAACTCCTTCATTTCTTCTTGAAATTCAGCTTTTTTGCCCACATTCGATCCCTTGACTGTACAATTTTCTCAACCTTCCTTCAATAGTCTTCTGGCTAAGAAAAGCAACAGTATCTCCAATTGCCTTTTCCCATATTTCTGAATAATCCTGGGTGGCCATCTTGATAATCATTGAGACATCTGTAAACTTCTTTATCACATTTATGTCACCAGCAGTTCTTCATGTGAAGTTTGTTCACCAGAAGAACACTTGGAGGGCCAAACAATGCATGATCTGTGACTTTCCTTGTTACTACAGTAGTAGCCATCTAAATAGCTAACATGATATGAAAAGAGAAAGAGTTAGTGAATGAACAAAATTGAATATAAACATTATACATTTGTACAACGTACATTACACTGCACCAACGCAACATAAATTTTAAAATTCCAGTTGTAAATGTTGCTTGACCTATCAGCTTCAAATATGGTATAGAATCTTAGATTTGTATAAGGAACAATCCATTAAGAGTGAAGCTTTGAGGAAAAGCTCACTGCTCCATACTCTGGGTCTCTTGTCAGGTTGATCAGATTCTGTGCTACACTTTTCACAGTCTATTTTTTCCACTTTTAGAAATATGTTGTATATAAAAGCAATCACAGCCAGTCTTTTTGTACAAGCATGTTCCAATATATTGTAGTTGAAGCAGGAAGAAATATCAGTTTGATAAGAAATTGCTAAAAAGTGAAAAAAATGGTAGTTTCAGATATTTTTCTTTGGAAATGAACACAATTGAAATGAGTTTAGATAAAAACTCATGAACATCATCAAGGTGTAGAATTATCAAAAGGTAATGAGGAAATTACATAATTGTAGCAAAAGCTTGAAAAATTAAGAAAACACCATAGTTGCAACTATCTAAGCAGAGATTCCATTTTAGAAACTTTTACGGTTTAAAAAATATTTTGGGACAAATTGTCAAAAAACAAACATTTAAGTATTAGCACAAGACTGTCCTTTTATTACCTCTTATAACACCAGTGATGTGATTGAGATTACATATCAGTGTCAACACTCCAACAATAGGAATTAGTAATAAACATAAGAAAGCAATTGACAGTTTGTAATATGCAGTGAATTATTTCATTTTGATAAGACTAATTAGAATTGTTTTACTTTTGTACAAAGTTCAATTTGTCTGTTGAATAATTTTTAACTTTAAACTTCGATGTTAACTTTGCACCCAGAGCTTCAAACATATTTTTTTTTTTACAATGAATTCAGATCTTTCCTATCAAAATGTTTTAACAAATCTTGTTCTTCAGAATGAATCATTTGACAAGCAAAATCTCTTTATCTCTCTTTATATCAATAGTGAAGGACACTTTATTGCAAAGTTTATGCAACATGAGTTAAATAATCATTTTACATTGTGCAATGACAGAAAAAAAAAACTTCACACAACGTGAAGAAAACTATATATTTATTATTTTTGACAGCATTTATAAACATTTCAGACACAAAAAATGAAAATTTAATTTAGATGACTGATAAAAATTGAATTTATCATTTTAAAAATTCAAAGTTGGTTGCAATAACAGGATGACAATAAAATCATGACATCAGCACACATAAGTTTTTCAGATATTTGACCATAACTTAGCAAAAAATTATGGTTTGTGGATTGTTGAGGGCTTGTTAGAATCATATTTGCAAGACCATTCAGAAAAAGAAAATTAAAAATTTTCCCCCAAAACCACTTGAAGAGAGTTGTATATAATCAACTTTCTGAATAGATATGTAAGTATACCATATTATGCCTTGGAGATTTTCCATTGAAGTTTAAAAATATTACTGTTTTGGGGGTAAAAATTAGTTTTCTGCAGGGTTGTTAAAAGAAAATTGTAAAAAAAGTTATCTTCTGAGATATTATTGCAAATTTTATGGATTGAGGTGATACTACTAGAAGTCTGAATTGATTTATTGTTTTATTTTCAGAGAAAAGCATAAAGCCATAACTCTTCTAGATCTAGACCACTGTGATAGGAGTGCTTGTAACAAATGAGAAGGATCAAAGTTAAAGTTTTTCAATTTTTAATAATGTAACTATTTTATATTATTCTACATCTAAAGCCTAATATTAAATTCTTGTAATATGGGATTAAAAGATATAGAAAGCCTGAAGAACTAGCTATTCAAAAAGAAAAAAAAAAAAAATTCCTGTATGAAATCAATTTACCTTTCTAAGAAATCCTCTTGTCTATAATTAAATACTTGATTAAACACCAAAAAGAAAATATTATGATCTCCTCTTCTTTATTAGTTGTTTTTGTTTATTGTGCAGGTGCGAGAGCATTGTCCACATCAGTGGGTTCCCTTCAAGGTAACTGGCTAGCTGCATGCACAGCAGTTCTCACTCCAGATCTCCAAATGAATCTGTCATGAGGGCTGACTGCAGAGGGGGCTACCACTTTTTCTAATCACATTCTGTCAGCTCCCCCTCCATGACATCTTGGGACTCCCAGACATTTGCTTTTCTTTAACCTGAAAGTCACTTGATAGCACTGTTGGAATGCTCAACATGTCCATACCAGTGAATATCTATCTTTCAATGAGATTGAGATCCTTGAGACCAAACTGTGCCAACAACTCACTTGGTTGTACACTGGCTACATACTGTCGATGTTACAGATCCATCTGATTATGATCATGTCAGAGGGATCATGATCAGATGTGTTAATTTGATTCTCAGCTATTTACTTACCTTCCATCTTGAATATTTTGGTAAATTTTTTTAGCTGTGTCAAGAAACGCATCCTCTACATTTTCTCCACTAGAAGATAAAAAAAAAAATAAAAAAAATGATAAAAAGATGTACTACGATTTTTTTTTTTTTAAAACAATTTAAGTAGACATCAATTTACAGGTTAACAGAATCAATTTTATTTTTAGTAAAATATGGAAAAACTTTTATATTGCCTAATCCATGTTCCAAATGAACACATATCTCTAAGACTGGTATTCCATTAATTAAAGAGAGAAAGCACAAACTTGCATAAACAGCCTGACCAACCTTTCCCAAATCTAAAATGACAAAAAAGAATTGTATTTGGAATCCATTTTTGTCAGAGAGCTTTTCAGTACACTCTTGAGTGTTGTTAAACTTTTTGTGCCAACAAATATTAATATTTTTATATTAGTTGAACTTTTTTTTCCTGGAAAAAAAGAAAACTCTTTTATGTTGATTAGAAAAACTAAATTAATTTGAGAATAAGTAGCATTAATGAGTCCTAATTATTGCATGACAAATAAAAGTTTGCAATAATGTGTAAAAATACTTTAAGATTTCTATTAAATTGTTCAACATATTACTGAGTTATTCAATCAAAATATTCCCCTTTGATCTCAATACATTTATTCCACTTTTGCAGCAAGTGAGAAATTCTTTTTCTAAACTATTTTTAGTCTTAAAAAAAAAACAAAAAAAAACAAAAAACAACCCAAAAAACTGATTGATTGATTGAAGGTTCTTTTTTTTTGTTTTTAAAAATAGTTTAAAATGCATAAAAAGAGAAAAGTAATCCATAGGAGCAGTACACAAGAAAATGTATCTTCAACAGATTCCACTTCAATAATGATCATTAACATTACAAATTTTCTTCAGTTAAATTCTCTTGTGTTCATGTTACCACAATGTTTTGGCTGATCCATTCTTTGACCTTTGTTGGGTACATAATCTATAAGGAGAATAAAAATTTCCTCAGGAAACTGACAGAAAAATGGACACAAATATACCAAGTAGATCAGTTCATTCCAGCAACTTTAGGTACCAGACAAAATTGTGCAGTTTTCTTTTTTTATTAACGATCTTTGAAAACTATGTAGATTAAAATTGCCTGGATACATAGGTGCTAGTAAGAGTTTCACATGCATATCCGGTGTTCTTGAAACGAATATTAGTGACAATTTTTCTTGTTTTAGTTTTCTGAAGAAACAGAAATATTTGTTCATTTATTTTTATGGACTAGCTAACAAAAGTTGAAACCTTGTGATAACATTAAGAAAACAAAAAGAAAAACTACAAACTGTCAAAACACAAATTTCAACAAAGTCTCATTTTGGTAACAGAAGAGCAGATTTTATGCAGCAAAAATGACGACCCTTCTGTTCAAACAGATGTTAGTGAAATGCCACATTTCAAGCTTGTTGACAAATCTACATGTATTGATCATTTTGAATCGAGCTATGATATATCTAATCACACCTGTTCAACACTTCAGGGGATGAAAGGTGCAGCTTTAGTGGGCTTTTCCACTCTTTATCCAGCCATTGTACAGATTTTCTCCAGTTATCTGATTTGTTCACCAATTGTATAGTTTCCAAATATGGAATTGTTATTCATGTAGTTTCAGTTCGTTATGGCCCATTTTTAACTTTTACAAGGATGAGAATGCATCAATCATAAACAGAAGCTTTGTAAAAAATAAATGGAATCAAGTGAAAGTTTTTCTGAATAACTGACAATTATTAAAAAAGAAAACACCATTTAAAATGGTGAGCAAAAATATCAAAGTAAACATCAAAATTAAATTCTATATTGTATAAAATAATCCTATGTTCTAACATCAGGTCATGATTAAAGTTGCAAATAAAAGTTCAGTGTTAGATAAAAATGGTGCTCAAGATTCTGACAATATGAAAACATTTACACTTAATTTTAATTTATCATAAATTGTTAATATCTTCCAAGCAATGTTATTTGACTTACATTTTCTAAAGTCAACAATTATTAAGCAATTTAAATAAAAGCATCTAAAAGTATGGCTATATTTTTATGATTTATATTGCTCCTTTAAAATAGGGAAAATGTATTTAGAAGTGAAGGTTTTAAAATAAATCGATATATACAAATTGAATAGCTTACAAATAATGACAAATACTGTATCAACATTACTATTGAAGCTGGGTAATTATAGTGAAAATTTATTAGCATTAACTTCAACAATAATTGGGTTGAAGAATGGGATATAGAAAAGAAACATTGACAAGATGAGAGTCTGGAAAGATTTTACTTGAAATTAGGCAGTTAAGAAATGGAAAAGAAGCAGAACTTTCAACTTACGTTTTAGCACTGCATTCAAGAAACATTAAACCTGCAATTTAACAAGCATAAAAATAACCAGGTATTATTCAAATGGTAAAATATCCAGAGATGATTCAACAGAAATGGTAGTAATATTAATAAGCAATCCTTACAGAATTCTACATAACCTAAAGGCAGGTTTCTTTTTAGTAAATCATAATTCTTAGGTCAGAAAGTTAACTTTAGTTATAAAGGGAGAAAGACAGCCAATTGTGTCCAATGGAAATTAATTCAAATAGCATTCAAAAGTCAAAGAACAGATAACCCCCCCCACCCCAAGGCTTAAAGATTCAGCATGTGGAAAATAATCTAGCTGCTAAAATAAGGTTCCAGAATTAGAAAATAAATGACAGTGAGCAATAGGGAAGTTTCTAAAATGAAAAAAAGTATTAAATGGATTGGTAATAGCATTTGTAATTTTTACGATCTTTTATAAATGTAGTTATAATTAAGTGCATAAACACTTATCCTGAAATAAAGATATTATACTGGCATCTAAAAGGATCGTATGGTAATAAAGAGGAATTTTTAACAGAAGTTGATGGTTAAACAATGAAAATATTACTGGTTACAAATCTATGGAGCAGAAAGTTATAGATAGTTGTTTTAATGTTATAGAGAAAGAGCATCAAAAAAAAAAAAAAATCTCAAAGAATAAACAAATCAATTTCCATGAGAAAATGCAGGTTTTAATAGTGATGTAATGAAATTTGGAACCTGAGCAGCAGTAAATTTATTTTATACAGACATCTGTAATGGGATAATCATTGACAAGTTACTGTAAGGAGAAAGGTTGAGAAGGGATAAAGACTTTTCATAAGAAAGGAATTCAGGCAAGTTATATTATTATTAGAGAGAGAGAGAGGTTTTGTTGTCAAGTATAGCAGTTTGAAATAATTAAGACAAAAGTTTTTATCACTGCATCTTAATCAAGTAAACAACTTTCAATACATATGATTTTAATATTTTATTCTTTAGATTTATATTATTTAGAAAGAAGGACTGGTGAAAGGCTGTAACAATGTAAGAGTTATTTATATATTTGCACAAACAAAATCAAATTTTTATTATCTAAATGTGAAGAGAAAGATACAGAATATTAAGAACTGAAGCTAAAAAAATACAAAAATTGCTACCTTTAATTATAAAGAGAAAGACATAATTTAAGCAAAGAAATATATGAAAACAGATTTCTTGACAGTAACATTCAGTGTTGAGTGTAGAGCTATATTGGATGGACATGATGGTTGGGCTAGAGATTTGAGTCTAGCATCAAAATAGTCAGCATGACTTGGAAGACAACTTTTAAATGGATATGTAATTATATATAGTCTACAAGTAGTACAGCTCACAACCAAGCTTTAAGCTAAATAATATCTTCATGAAAGACAATGTTCCTTCATATACTGTAAAGCTAACTATTATTTACATTGCCAAAGAAGTTTTTGAAAACCAAATTAATGGAATGGCCCTGAACTTCTTTAGATATTAACCCAATAGAAAGAGATTTACATGAAAAAAAGAAAGTATTCAAGATCATTGAGATGCAATAAAAAACTACTGCAAACATTAAAATCAAAAGAGGAGAAAGTTAAAACCAATGGATAGAAGACAGATAAAGGCTATATAGAAGAGGCTACATTAACATGTATAAAAATAAAATAACCAAATTTGTGGCCTATACTGTTTGTAGTTATTTATAAATAAAAAATTGTGTTCTACTTTATATATTCCCAAAACAAGTGATTGATATGTTTAATAAAAAGATATATTGTAAGCTTGTTGAAAGATATCTATATAAATAGAGAGTTCCTTCAAGATGGTTTAGAGGAATTCAAATTCTGCAAAAGCACATATATATATATATATATATATATATATATATATATATATAAAACTAAAACAGTGTCAAGATAATTTTATCTTTCTATTGGTAATTTACATACAAATAAATAGTCACAATCTCCAGTTTTGACAATTTTATTGGTTAATATTGGCTAAAGAGTCAGATTTATATGTATAATTTATACTTCCTGAGTTTTTAAAAAAGTTTTTATCACTGCATCTTAATTAAGTAAACAACTTTCAATACATATGATTTTAATATTTAACATATGATTTTAATATTTTCTAACAGGATTGGAAAAATAAAAGAAAGAAAGAAAGAAAGAAATCAATCAATCAAAAATTATATCTAGTTTTTCTCAAGAGGTGCATTAGTGAAGAAAAAAAATGATTCCACAATTCATTTGGCATTTTAATACAAGTACAAAACTTGCAAAATAGTAAAAAACAAACTAACCATTTTCTTCGGCAAACTGTTTTGCTTCCTCATACGTGACGTCTCTTTGTCCTTCTAAATCTGATTTATTGCCAATCAAAAATATAACCTATAACAGAACAAGCATCCATTAGTGTCAGAAAAGTCAATGAGAAATAAAAAATGTGTTATGCTATTAATTAGATAAACTTGGATTATTATGATATAATGAAGTAGAAAATTATTAGGATTAACTTTGTATAAAATAAATATTCCACACATAGCCGAGACAAATTGGTTATCAAGTTTTAATAGAAGAGGACTAACAAAATAGGGGCTTTGCAGCAGAGTTTAAATCTGAAGACTAGATTTAGAAAATATCCAGTAAAATTTGTATAACTTGAATATGATTTATTGGCATAAATAAATATTGAATCACAAGGATTTAAGAGCGCTATCATTTGTGCATTAATGGTAAACAAGATCACTTTTTTTCCTTATTTTTTGCTAACCTAAGACAGAAATCATAGAATCAGTAAATTACACTGTGTGTGTGTGTGTGTGTGTGTGTGTGTGTGAGAGAGAGAGAGATAGAAACATTCCTTAGTTTGAGATCTTTCAAACAGTATTTGCATAAAAGAATAAAATAAAATCTTTGAATAATGAATACAGGCATACCGTATTGGGATTTGTTAAATTCCTTGCATCTGTAAGCCAGCTGCTTAAATGGTTGTATGTACTTCTCCTGAAAAATATGGTTTTATGTAATGTTAAAAAAATTTGTATTTATAATTTTAGATTTTATTAAAAGCAATCAAAGTATTAATAAAATACATCCGCAGTTTAATTCCATTAAATAATCAGATATAAAGTCCTAATTAAAACGTTTTCATCAATTAAATCTAATCAAGTTAATGAGATAGTGTCTGAATATTTTATTTCTTTTGAAGTTTAATTTCACCTAATGCTATGCAAAAGAAGAAATGAACAAGTCCCAACAACTCCCCAACCCCATATCTTTTTGCTGCAACTTAAGCCTGCATTCAAATAGGTACTTGGAAAATAAGAAGCACTTTAAAAAAAACAAAAAACTGCATATTGTGGATTTTGCTTTGTTAAATCAATACATTATTAAAAAAAAAAAAAAGAAAAAAAAAAAAGGTAGATAATATATAATTCTTGAAGCAAATATTTGTACACGTAACAGAAAATTCTTCATGTCTACTCAAAGTACAAACAATGTAAACTCTTTAGCAAATTGCTAGCCATTCTGCAGTTCATATTTTTTTATGCATGCACAAATGCATATGTATCAAAAGTAATTATTTCTATTTATTTACAGTTGGAGAATAGCTCAGATAACAATTATGTTCTATTAAAATAATCGGGTTTCTTTTCTGCTTTACTTGCATCAATCAAGGAATTAAAATGACTCCAGAAAACAAGATTGAATTCAAACAAAGTTGAAAGTAAACATTATCAGTTTCCTCAGACATTGCAAGAATTTATGAAGAAATTTCTACAACTGTTTCTAAACTGGTATTTTTCAGTATTGACAACTCTGAAACAATGATCCAATCAATATGAAGGCAAGGCTAGTCTTTTACAAAAAGCTGCAATTCATTTCATTGTAAATCAGATTTAAGGTCTTGGCAAAGTTTAATATTCATTAGTTCTGAAGTGAATCTATGAAATGGGGTTGAAAAGTTCTTAATCCAACCAAGAAGCTATCACCCCCCCCCAACATCTGGTGAGATTTTGAGAAGTGAATTAAGGCTGAGAACTTTTCAGCACCCTCTCATACATGTGACAGATTTTGTACAAACACATTATGCATTGAGAAAAGTGATACTCAAACTTCAATCATGAGCCTGGGTATCCTATTTGATAAAAATTGATTTAAAACAATTTGAGAGGAAGTATCTGGAGCTCTGATCAGAAATGGAAAGTGTACTGGTTGAAATATCGATATAATAACCAGATGAATTCAAAAGAAGTGTTAGATAACTTATTTTACCTTGTGATATCATAGACCATAAGGGCTCCAGCAGCTCCACGGTAGTAACTCCGGGTCACTGCTCGGAATCGTTCCTGTCCGGCTGTATCCCAGATTTGTAGCTTGATTTTCTGGCCAGCAACTTCAATTATTCTGAAAAGCAATTCAGCAAAACAAATTAAAAAAAGTGCTGTAAAAAATTAAAATGATACAAACTAGTACTGTTCCTAAAAAAAAGAACTAATGTTTTATAGTTATTTTTATAGTATACTTCTCTTGTGAGAATAATGGAATATTTTGCTAACATTTTTTTTATTTAATCAATTTTTATTTTGTTTTAATACTTTTTTTTGTCATTTTCTCTTATTTTCCTAAGGTAGTGGCTATTTGTTTCCTGTATGTGTGTGTAAAAATTGCACGTATATGTTGGAGCACTTTCAATTCTCATCAATTTCCAAGTACTTGAATTATATTATGGCTTTGAAAGAAAACTTGTCTTTTTTCATCATAGTGTTTAAAATGTTATAAATTTAAATCATGCTTTGATCCTGTTGATAATGTCATTTGCAGGCGACTTATGACATGTAAAGTTGCCTGCAATATTATGTAGATTGAACCTGTGTGTTTAGCAATTCTGAATATATATATATATATAGTCTTGTATTTAATGCAACATTTCAAAGGCAGAAACCATAATCCATGAAAAAATACAAGACAATTTATACAAAATTTATATTTATATATAAATTGTCTTGTATTATTTCACAGATTATGGCTTCAGAAACTGTAAGGTCTACTCAACATAGTTGCAGTATAAGCCAGAGATTGGCTCTGTGAGTGTGTAGGCATCTGCAACAGAGATTGGCTAGCTACCCTAAAAGATAGGTGTGTTTGAAAATGAGTAGCCAACAGCTATTATATGACCAAATGCTTCAAGATTTTATGGATCATGACTTCAAGTGCTTGTAGCCGTGTTTTACATTTTATAATATATTTGTCTTGTCTACAAATATTGGTCTGAAATGGGTAATATAATAATCTTGTATACTATATTGATTAATAGGTACATAACAATTTTGTTGTGTTATAGATCTTTCCCAGAGAATTGAAGTTTCCTAAAAATACTGTAACATTTTCTTTCAGCCTTCTTTGAACTAACTGTAAGTAGTTTATTTACTTTTGAAAGGTTTATAATAAAAAGTGGTAAGAATATATCTTATAAAATAATATCCTTAAAAGATATCTGCCTTAAACATTTTTGCTTGCAATGCCATATACCAGAATACTGGAGAAAAAAAAAAAAAAAAAAAAAAAAAAACTAGTAATTTTAATGTTAACTTTTAAATGTTGAAGTTATATACATATTGATGTCAATGAAGATAAGTATTTCAAGTTAATAAATACTTGAAAAACAATATTTTATAAAACCATTTAAAGTATGCACTATATATTTACTATATGTATCAGAGTTTTTGTTTGTTTTTTTTTCAATTATAGGTTTGAAAGAGAGTGAAAAATATATAGTGTACACTTGTCCAATTTGTTCTTAATGCTAAAATAGATTACAAAGGTTAGAATTGTCTGCTGTTACTGCCAAAACTGTAAATATATTTTCCAAAACTGGGTTAGGCTATAATAACTTTATACAAAGAAATGCCTTAATTAAAAATGTAAGACTGATAAAACAAGTCTTGTTTTACTGATAACCATATATACTCTTGATTATTTAGAGGCGAGAAAATAAATCCACGAGAATAACTATAAAAATAAAATCAGTTTTTGAACTCATAACTGCTTTTTTTTCTCTCTTTGGGGAATTTTTTTTTAATGTAGTGTCACTTCAGAGTATGGGCAATGATGGCTCTCCATAACTTCCTGTTTTTTGTAGTTCTAGGCAACATTTGATTCTTTATCATCCCTCTGTCATTTATATATATATATATATATATATATATATATATATATATATATAAAGAAATAAATTATTATGATAAAGGCTGGATAAAAACACTATATTCAGTTCTTTTATATATGGAATGAAGATGATTCATGTTAAATATGAATAAAGTTTAAACAATTTTATTGAAGGATTGCTGCCTAAATACACAGTGTGTGTGCGCCTGCGTATATATATATATATATATATAAAAAGAATTATTGAATTTATTTTGAATCCATTTTCATTACTTCAAATGTTATTTTTAGTGGATTCTTAGTTGGAATAGATGCTTTGTTTTTTTTTTTTTAAACTGTGTGTATTACATATACCAGTGTATACACACAAAAAACTTATACATTCTCTTGTTCAGAATTTCTTGGAAACATACGCTTGCTCAATTTCATATGTGAAACAAAGTGATTTCTAAAAGGTTAATGAATTTATTAATAAAATCTGACATTTTTATTATGTCAAATGTCATTTTAGTTGATGCTAATATTTGAAATAGATACAAACATTTTAAGTTTTCTCAAGTGCTCAGGCTGGTAAATATAATACACACTGTTTAAAACAAAAAAATAAAAATGGGGCATCTCAAACACATCCATCTACTAAAAACCTTGTGTGTGTGTGTGTGTGTATATATATATATATATATATATATATATATATAAAAATAAACAAACACCTGCCAAAATACAAAGATTTTGATAATTTATTTTCAAGCACATGTACATACTAAGATAACATTTTTAGTAATAACACCCAGAATTACTTGTATAATGTTAGGTCAGTTTATGAGTACTACCAGTACCATATAATCTAGTGCTACCTGCTGCAGAGTCGGGTTATCAGAAGGCTAAACCAGTTGCCCCCACCAAACTTTTCTGGTGAGGAGGTGGTTAGACACATAGCATAATTAAAAACAATACTTGTTAAAGGGCAGATGAATGTTCTTGTAGGATCAAAGGCCATTTAGCACAATGAGAAACTGGAATTCATAGCTATGTACGCAGTCAGTGCAGTGATGACATGTCATGTCATTGCAATGTGGAGGGCTTCCCAAGATAGAATCAATGGTCAAATGTCTATGAACAAGGTGTGCCTTCAAAAGTTGGAGAACATCAACTGTGGTTTGACCTAGAGAGGAATGGGCTCCACCAGGTCTATTTACTCTTGACATGCTATGCATGAATGAATATTTTTCTGGCTTTCAACTGAGATAGGTGGAAGAGACTGGTTAGGTGCTTAGCTATGCAGCAACTCTATGATGATACCTAGTCATGGGACTGGTGATGAATTATAAGAGCAAATTAACCTCAATGACTTTTCCAAATAAAGAAAATTTTTAACAACAGTTTATCATGAGAAACTTAAGGCAATTAAAAAGTTAGTGTTTTTCAATAAGTGATGAGCTTTGAGTGAAAAATGAAAAGCTAACATAATTCTAAAAACATAATAAATTGCTAAATGGAGAAAATTTCTTTCCATTATCAATATGCTTGAATAATTTTATAAAAAGTTTGAAATCAAATATCAATTAAAAACATTTACACACAACTTACCTTGTTCCAAACTCTACACCAATGGTATGTGGGCAATCTGCCATAACTACAAAATAAAAAATAAATATTCCATTATGTTCAAAGTAGGTAGAAAGTAGAGAAAAATCAATTAAGCTTAACTCAATTATGCAAATATGAAAAGGTTTCCATAATTTTTAATTTTATATTTGTATTCAGTAGCTGGTCAATGGACAAGAGGAAGACAGAGAAAAAAAGCTTGAAAATTGTGAGGGCAGTAAAGTAGATCAACTGTTTCTTTGTTAAAAGGCTGAAGGGAAATAGAAAAATCAATTTATTTACTTTCAAATGGGCAAAATAATCTATAGAGGTAGATTTACATCGGATAATGAATTCTGTTTAGAGAACACCATATATACTAGAGCTTCTTTATTAGCTGGCTTTAAGATTAAAAGCACACATACAAAAAAGCTAATCCAACTTCCTAGTTTTTATGAAATTCATACTGGTATATGAAAGGTCATTTAATCTAAAATGTGACCCCTTCGTTCAAGATCAAGTCAGACAAGTTCTATTTGCAGAAAAATTTATCTTTCTGGTTTTAATGTGTTCCTCTAAACATGTCCTAAGAACTCATCTGCCTTAGGTAAATGGTGAGAATATCATTGCAATTCTATGGTTCAGTTATAAATGACAAATTTTTGCTACAGTTAATGGATTTAAAAAAAAAATTGTTGAAGAAAAAAGATTAGATTTCCTCTTAGTCAAAAATAACTGAAAATTATCTTGTGTTGTGTATCTTATTTTCTTAAAAAATTGAGAGCTGCCTGAATTTTTGAGATGAAGTATCATTATTTTATGCATTATTTGTACTTCTGAAATACATTAAAAAACAATGAAATGTTAGTATACTGAATAGCAAATTCTTAAACTGACCAATTAAAAATTAACTACTAAAACTGACTTTTCTTTTATAATGAATTAAATTCTAGCATAAAGATTTGTTATTGGAATAACTTTTATTGTATGTAATATGCTTGGTGTCCAATGTGTTCAGAAATGTTTGAGCTGTCATATATATATATATATATATATATATATATATATATATATATATATATATATACACACACACAACAGTTTTCTCAGATCAATGATTAACAATGTCTTCAAGCAAATGAATTGCTTAGGTCTTAAAAACGATCCTCCAACTCCTATAGACTGCCTTTATCACCAAGAGCTTTTAGCAAAATAAAATTTCATTTGAACATTTCAAAATTGGTAGCATATGAAAGTAAAAGAAAAAAAAAAATAAAGATTTTAATTTTTCCACATTACCAAAAACATTTGGAAAGAAAGTCATCAAAACTAGAACAAGTGATAACAGGAGATTTGTGAAGTTTAATTTCCTGAAGAAATGTTCAGTCAATGCTGAATGTTTTCCGAATAGAAATGGCTAATTTTACCACTAAATCTACAAAAATTTATTTTTTCAGAAGCAATTTCTATTAAAAATATAAGACCAAGAATTATAAGTTAAGTACATGAGGGAGTGCTGAAAGTTCTGACAGTCACCTTCCAAAATCTGACCAAAAGATCAAATAGAATTTTCTTTTAAAATTTCCTTCCTGGTAAGGTTGAGAACTTTTCAGCATAATTTCATATTTATACCTATGTATTTTTAAAATATTTTAGGATAAAAATTAAATTTATCAAATTACTAGAAAAGCATTGTGTCAACTTTAATAAAAATACAAAAACTGTAAAAAAAAATTTTAAGATGATCTTAGAAATGTTTCTATTGGGTATTTAACATACTGACTGCCAGAGATTAATTATAAAATCAGACTTCTTACAACTTTATAATAGCCAACTTAGGCAATAAATTTTTTTTTTATGAGTTTCATAGCTTCAACAAAAGTCTTAACATTTTTATGCTAAAAGTATCACTGCAAATAAATTCACTAGCACCCCAAAATTAAAATATCTAAAAAAAAAAAAAAAAAAAAAAAAAAAAATGTTAAGCATGGAGGTAACTTGTGGTCGATGTCATAATAAAAACTGCCAACCACAAGTTATTGTGTGGTTGGCAGTAAATGTACTACACTAGCAGAGTATATTTAGCAAGGAAATTGAACTAAAACACCTAAAATTCTAAGACAGTGTTAGCAAATACTAAGTTTGATCTGTTCAATAAGGTACTTAAATATTAACAGGTAATAAACTAAAAAGAACTAATATTCACACACAGGCACCAAACTGTTTGCAGCTTCACGTGTTGACCCTAAGGCTCTTGTCAATGAAGAGAGTGTCTGAGATATAGTAACTACAGTGAATTTTGACTGACTAGACTATATCTTCACATGTGACTGGGCAGTGTTTGCCTATTGAATCAACAACTACATATCTATGACCAAGGACCTTCAAATTGGAGGACATCAACTGTGGTTTGGCTAGGAGAGGGATGGGCTCCGCCAGGTCTACTTGCCCAAAATATGCCATGTACGGATGAATATCTTTCCAACATTCAACCTGGACATTGGCATGCAATAGAGACATGGAGGTCAGGTGCTCAGTTGCATAGTGATCCTACAACCATGCCAGGTCATGGGATTGATGAGGATTATGATTATTTTGGAGGCACTGCTTTTTGCATAAAACTTAAATCAAAGGAGTGGATTTAGAATTTTAATTTGTGAAAAGTTTTCAAATACTACCTCCTGTCCTTGATGGAAAATTTTCAAAACCAGAATGAAAGCTTAAAAATAAATGCAGTTTTCTGTCTATATTTCTGAGATGAGGTATTATGTACACTATTTACATTATTCAGACTATTGTCCTCATCTCTGTTGCCATATTTATCACAACATTTCGGCGAGTAAAATAAAGGGTTCAATTTGACATTCCAACGACCTGAAGAAGGCTGGAGCATACAACAATCGAAACGTTGTGATAAATATGGCAACAAAGATGAGGACAATAGTCCGAATAATGTAAATAGTGTACATAACACCTCATCTCAGAAATATAGAGATACTGAAGGATCGGTATGAACCCAATATATTGAAAATATGGAGACAAATTGAGAACTCCTACCAGAAACTGGCATGAATACAGAACCATCTGACATTCCTACACCGATATATAGACCTACAACTCATCCCTTCAAACACCAAGACTTCCTGTCAATTCAAGGAGAGCCAGTCTGGTCACAGAAAAAGCAGGACATGCCCTTGTCCAAGAGAGAATCCAGTACAATCGTTGGATAAAACAGAGACTACAAGCTCATATCATTCAGAGGCTTCAACAGATTTACCAATGAAGAAGACCAAAGAAGGATCTAAAATGACTTGGATAAATCCTTCAGACATGAATTCGATGTAATCACAAAAATTAAATAGAGTGAAAGATCAGAAGGTGATGCACAAGGTCCATCACCAACCAGTGAAAGCAGTAATCAACATCAGCCAATATCATCTGAGCGCCTCTGAGGAGTCAGTATTAAATAAGGGTCTCAACTTCGCCACAACTATCAGGCCAGTGCCATACTTGGACATCATTGCCAGAATCAAGGAAATGGCCTTGAACTTCCCTTGGGCTCAGGCGGATGAACTAAGATGCAAAGTGAGAAACCTTGGAGAAAGCCAAGCTGCCCAAGTCAAACATCACGAAACTGGAGAGGCTGGCAATCAGATCCTTACAGAGGAACGAAAACATCGTCATACTACCAGCTGACAAAGGCAATGCAACTGTAGTGATGGACAAATCAGATTATATAGGAAAGCTGGAAGACCGCATTAGAAATGGTAGCTACAGCAAAGTAAAAAAGGATCCTACAATGAAAACAGAAAACAAACAGTCACAGATACTAATCAAGAACATGGATCACTTTGCACCTAAGATGTATAGGCAGTTATCACAGCGTTACACCAAGCTACCTCACATATACAGTCTCCCTAAGATTCACAAAGACGGTATTCTGCTCAGGCTGATTGTTAGTTACCAAAGCTCTGTGTGCCACCCAGAGTCACTTCCTTGTAGATATAATTGACCCATTGATCGGAAAGTCACTTTCATATGTCCAAAACTCTGCCTATCTCATGGAAATAATCAAAGATGACCCCATCCTATCCAACCAGATAGTGAGCTTGGATGTGGTGAGTTTGTTCACCAAGGTACCCATGTTGGAGGCATTCTCAGTAGTCAGAGACAGATTGGCCTCTGACTCATCCCTAGGAGAATGGACCAGTATTCCAATAGATAATTGGATGGAGATGTTGACTGTGTACACAAACAACACTTTGGAATCGGGTTCACACATATCAACAGGATGAGGTCTTAGCAATGAACTTACCATTATCACCAGCAATGGCGGATATATACATGAAATACTTTGAGGAAATGGCATCAGAATCTATATCTCTAAGGCCAACTATGGTTAAGATACGTAGATGACACCTTCATACTCTGGCCACATCAGGAAGATGTCCAGGTTCTACTGGACCATGCAAACTCAATAAGACCTTCAATACAGTTCACAATGGAGAAAGAGTAACAACACACTCCATTCCTGGATGTTCTAATATGTTGAACAGAGCATAGGTTCAAGACATCCGTATACCGCAAACCGATATTCACTGGACAGTACCTCAATTTCAACTCCCACCATCCATACAGCGTAAAGAAAGGGATTGTCTGTTGCTTACAACACTGAGCAAAAGTCATAAGTGGCGACCCAGAGACATTAGATAAAGAATTGGTCAGTATAAGCACTACCCTACAACGTAACAACTATCCTGGGTACATGGCAGCCCCAATAAACTGGGATAGGCAGGTACAAGAGGAGGACAACAACATTCAGAAAACAGTCTGCCTGCCTTATGTGAAGGGGTTATCAGAGAAAATACAAAGGATCTGTGGTCCATATAACATCAAGACAACCTTCAAAAGCTGGATGACACTTTGCAGATACCTCTCCTGAGTAAGAATCCCCCACTACAGGAGAACATGACTGTGTGTATGCCATCCCGTGCAGCTGCGGAAAGAAATATAAAGGGGAGACAGGCCACCTCCTTAAGGTAAGGCTTCAAGAACACCAAAAAGCTGTAACACAAGGGGAAGTGGAAAAATCAGGCATGGCTGACCACATATGGAGAGAAAAGGAAGGTCACCGATCTCTGTGGGATCAGGTTGAAATCATAGACAAAGAACATCATTGGAAAAATCGTAAACTTAAGGAATCAGCACATATGCTAGGCCACAAAAATCTCCTGAGCTGACCAAGTGTAGAAATAGAATATGGGAACCAGTAATAAGGAGTGTCAGAGGAAAGCAATAATAACAATGAAAATTGCAATATGAGCACTGGTAAAAATGGTTGCTGAAGACATTAAGTTTATAAGTCTCAGAAATTCATACACAGATGTCCTGTGATGGCACAGTGGATAAAGGTGTTGGTTAGATCCAGTGAGAGGACCCAAAGAGTTGTTAGTTCAATACCTGGTTAAGGCAGTGGAGAACTTGGAGATGTGAATGAATTAACAGGAGATAACTGATATCCATAGAACTAGAACACTACCCCAGTGAGCGAAATAAAGGGTTCAGTTTGGCATTCCAACCACTTGAAGAAGGCTGAAACGTTGTGATAAATATGGCAACAAAGATGAGGACAATAATTGGTGAATAACATTGCTGCTTACAGAAGATACAAACTGAATTATTCTGTTTTTATTATAAGACCAACAAAATTTTCTCCCTTTTGGATAGTTGGGTGACCATTGCTGATGTCGTCATCCTTCTATTAATTTATTTTATCACAGTGAAATGGACATAAAAATGAAAAAAACAAATTAAGGAATCATGAACTATATGTGGAATAGAAGACAGAACTGACAGCTATAATGTGACTCGAAATCAAATGATGATTCAACAAGTAAGAGTTTAGCTAATAAATCATAGTATTTAAAAAAAAAAAAAAAAAAAAAAAATTTTTTTAAATTTGAAAACTAAAAAAAATAATTCGGTTAGAAGGAATTAATTAGTTCTATCTGAATGTGTAACAGCAGAAATTTGGCCACAAATATAGTGGATATAATTATTGTCAATAATGTACCATAAATTCTAAAGATTAGCCACTGGCAAGACAAACTTGCATGTCTTTATTCTTGAGAGGTGCCTTACTGATTAATGTCATGAAAGTTTACTTTTCATTTCTATTCTACATTGCTTACTAATATTTGATTGTAGAATGGCAATCTAGGAATTGTGATAAAAAGTAGTGCAAGTTAAAATATTTCAGTCATTCAACACAATGATATAGCTTTTTGTCTTTTAGTCAGCCAGCTTGAGATCAAGCCTGAAGTGAGTGCAATGTAAACTGCTCACACACTATCATCATGGAGAGATGAAGAAAAAAAAACATTCTACTTAAATTCTTTGTTTTTAGGACAAAGTGAAGTGTGCTAAATTTATCAACACTTACTATTCAATGGAGTCTCAATTTATGCTTTTTGTACATTTTATAAATACACAATTATTGATTGATGTGGATACAAGATCTTAAAAATAGAAATGTGGTAGTTGAGTGAATGCAAATTTAAAGGTCTGAATTTGTAAACATGTTCATCATGTTACAGTTAGAGTTGAGAAAATATGTGGAAATCAGACTATTTTAACTGGTTGAAAAATGCATTACTTGATGTAATTTTTTTTTTTTTTTTTCATGAAAAATTAGAAGTTGGATGTTAGGTTAGCTGTATATTCACCTAAATGTGCAATTTACCTTTTTGCTGCTCATTTCTAATAATAGCACCTGAATATGCAATTTGAATTTGGTTGTGTGTGTGTGTATATATATATATATATATATATATATATATAAAAACACTTATGTTAGAAGTGATGTAATATAAAATTATAAAATATGAAATATACTTACATTTTTTTTCTGTGAACTGGTGTAATAGGCATGATTTGCCTACTCCCATGTCACCAATGATGATATATTTGAAGATGTATGAGTAATTATACGGCCCCGCGGCCATTTTGGTTTGAGAAACACAAGAAAAGCACTCTGGAAAAAAAGAAAGAGCAGAAGAATCAGAAAAAGTATAAAAGAAAAATTTCTTTTAGTTAGGTTTTCATTTAACTGAATACAAAACAGGCAAATAATCTCTCCATGATATAATCAGTGACCCATCAATTTTGAATACATTATTGCAAAATGTAGATGAAAATAAATCTATATTAAAAAGGAAAAAAAGAAAAAAAAAAGAAAGAAATAAAGCTGACTTGAAATCTATTCTCAGTATGTATAACTTTTTTCTTTAGTTGTTAAGGATTGTCATTTAATCAAGATTTTAACACCTAAAAACTTCTATAAAGTAAAACAAAGTATTATTCTATTTTGTAATAAAAAGAACAAAAAAGCCCTATTTTTCTTTTACATTTGTTTGTATTCTACAAATCCATTTATAATCCCAATTTCCATCATCTTCAAAAGGAAACAAACAATTAACATTATAATTCATCACAAATAAGACCATTTCCAGCAGTCTGAATTTGAAACAGTAATTGTTTATTATTTTTAAGTAATGCTACTGCAGAAATACATCCAGTCAATTTTTTTTTAATTTAACAGTAAAAGGAATTTTTATAACCTTGTATACCATTTTATTTAGCAATTAGTGTAAATAAAAATTGAATTATGAATGTGCAAATGTATAAAATTTAGAAAATTGTACAATTTTCTTTCAGGAAAAATATACACCTATCATTTTTCTGATACAGTTTGTTCTGATTTGATGATAAAACACACACAGCATTATCACCATAATGTTAAATATACACTTTTCTTGTATAACCAACTCTCTTCATAGTTTATAACAGTGAAATATGAAAATAAAGAGAGAATGCAATAAAATGAGAAATTATGTTTTTACAATAATTCTGTTTAGTTGCAGAGTAGTGATTAGTGTGATGCTATTGATAGCACATGCTCATTTAAAAGCACATTTCAACTATGATCTTATACACGATTCCAATTCTGTGGAGGTTTACTATACAAGTGTTATGCACACAAAAATATTGGTTTCTGGATAATTGTCAGCTGGTGACATGTCTTAATATATTTGTAGGATGTATAGGTTATTAGAAATATGAAAAATGGAATGGATAGACTGAATTCAGACTTGGTTGGAGGTTGTTGCATTTGCTTAACACTCAAAATAGGTTTAAATTTATCCCTTCTACCAATTACAAGTAAAATAATGGTGTAAATTGGGACCTCTAGCCTTAGTAGGGCAATTGGTCTAAGATGACAACATTGAATTTAAAACTATGGAGAAGCCAAGGGGGTAAACAACCATGTTCAATGAGCATAGTCATAAAAATTTATATTTTCACATATATTAAAGAAAAAAGGAAGCTGTGGAGGTACATGACTGTCTACACCTTATAATAATAATACAAAAATAATTGTTTGAGAAGTATTTACGTAAGTGCCAGTATTTTTTCTTTGTAAAGTCAATTTACAGACTTTTACAGTAATAATAAAATGAGCTGCAATGAAATAGAAGGAAATGGTGCCATAATAGCAACAACTTTTCATAAGAGAAATCTGTAGCAGAAACAATTCTGGAAGTTTCAGGTAAATCATCATAGCGCAAAGCTGAAAGGCAAAAGCTGATATTAATTTCTCAGAAGTCATTGGGAAACCATGTTCATTAATTTCCTTGATTTTGCAATAAATAATAAAAAAATGAAAATGAGGAAAAAAATTCCCTTTAAAAATGAATCTTAAAAAAAAAAAAAAATTCCTTTGAATAGAGGATGAAAGAGTAAGAAATAAAAACAGTTATATTGGCACTCCTTGTGGTGTAACTGTTAGTAAGCTTGTCTTGCCAGATCAATTCAATTACTGAGTAGAGTTTAATCCTCACTTAGTTCTCCTTACTTCTGGCCTTGTGCCACATCTAAGCTTTGCTTAGTAAATTATATAGTACTGTACTAGTGAAAATATTTAAACTTTCATTGTTAAATATTTTAAAATATTTACAAAATTAGCCTAAAATACATGAAGCATACATAATATTTATTTTCAATAAATTGAAAATTTTGCAAATTCATAAAAGTAAGAATGTAATCACAAGCTTCTATCTCACCAATATTGACCCTTATTTTTATAGAAAGAAACTGAACTGTTTCCAAAAATGCATTGATTCTGAATAATACTAAATTATTGTATATAAAAAAAGTTTAATACCTTAAGAGTTTATACTACCTATTGATTAAGTTTACTGAAGTCATTAAAAAACTTTTCAAAAACACAATTAGAAAACTTAAAAACAAAAATATAGACAAAACTTATCTAACTGCTTATTTTACAAAGGAAAAACCACTAGAAATTAATACCAATTCTGTCAAACCATTGTGTAAATCTTTCTATTTTACCTAGCATCTGTAACATTTGAGATTTTAAAACAAAGATTTCAGATCAAGAGCCTTGTCTGTTAAGGTCATTATACTAAAGAGTACACTTGTATACCTGATCATTACTATTATTGCAGTACAAGCTAAAGGACTTATCTTTACATAGGGTTAACCGATACCATACATTATAGGAAAAGTTTAAACAGCAGCAGTCTTTTCCTGTTAGTTTCCTGCGATTCCATTATAATGTAAATATATTCAGTATACCAATTTTCATAGTACCATAAAGACTGGAAAACCATGTATTTTATTATTCAGTTCTTTGTTAAAAGGGAAAGTCTTTATTTCTTCTATATATTGGAGATGTCAAAATCAAGCTGATGAAAACATAGTAATAGATAATGGAAAATGTGATATACAAATCTGCAGTGGCATTAGAATATCAAAACATGCCTTTCAGAAACTAAGCAAAGTGATAGGAAAATGTCATTAGAAACAAAGAAAAGAGAACTGTTATGCAATATCTAATCTCCTCTATGACAGTAACTGCTGGAGAATCTCCATAAAAATGAAGAGACTTGATGCAATGTATGTGGTTCTGATGACAAATACTAAGAATGCCAAGGAGGGAACATGTGAAAAACAAGGAGGTCTTAAGAAAAATGGGAACTATAAGGAAATTGAAAATTACAATCAGAAAGAGAGAGCCAAAATTTATGAGACACATAAGGGAAGAAGGCTTGGGAAGTTTAACACTCAGAGGATATACTGATAGCTAGAGAAGCAGGAGAAACAATGATTTTGTGTGAATGGATGGCAGAACAAAGTAAAGGGTGAAAAGTTACTTAGAACAACAAAGAGGAAGTTGCAGAGAATCATGATTGTCCATATCCTGAAGAGGCAAGGATCAGATAAAAAATATTCAATCCCTTTACTACCTTCATTTTCAAGCATGCAGTCTACTTTATCTAGAACTGCATACTATTCTAAAACATATTCAAATGTCATTTTTCTCTGCAATTTATTTAGCTGTTAATACAAATATTAAAAAAATAATCTAGTTAAACATTCTTGAATTGTGCAAATCTAAGCCGTTCTTATACAGAGGATAAATTGAAAATGGCTAAATTCATAAATGAAAAAACAAGAATTTGTCTTTCTCTACAAGGATCTCATTGTAATTTAAAGTAAAAAAAAATAAAAAAGGACTTCTTTTATCAGATCAATCATACACAAAAGGTAACAGAGTAATTAAAAGTACACTAAAGCAAAACTATATTTACAGTTTTATTTTTGCAATACTGGAAAATATTTAGTATTTACAAGATTTTATCCTTAACAGTGTTTGAGGTCTTTTAAAATAAATGTTTACAAGTGTAAAAAGAAACAGAGCTTAAATTTCATTAAATTGAAAAGCAGAAAATTTTTCATTTACCAGATTAAGTTATATATAATTAAAAGAAACCAATATTTCTTACACATTACCATATGCTAAAAACTTTTGATTAATCTTTATGGATTTTTTATTTATATTTTATTTATTTATTTTTATTTACAAAGTTTAATCTTCTGAAACCGATAATGTGAGACAAAAAAAAAAAAGAAAATTAAAAGTTCGTTTTTCACTGATGTCAACAATATTATTAAAGTATTTTCGTGCAATTAATTAATATTGAAACATTAAAAAAATCCATTTAAAAATAAAAACTCAAGTAACATTAATTGTTATAACTAAAAAAAAAAATTAAAACAATTCTAGAAATATTTAAAAAACTCAAGGGTCAAGGCCATTAATTTCAGACTAATGATTTTGAAGTGTAAATTACTAAAATAGGCAAGCAAAACATTTTTCATGCACATGGGTTAAATAATGCAAACAGAAATAACAAAAATAAAATGTTTGACAAAGGGTGCAAAAAAAAAAAAAAGCCTTGAACAAAATAAATCACCTAAAACTACTACTGAGGAAAAAAAACTGAGTAATAACTTAAAAGAGCAAGGAAGAAACCCAATCAGTAGGTCAAGGAAGTGGGGGGAAAAGAAAAAAAAAAAAAAAGCCATGAGCCAACAATAAAAGTGAACAGGAAGAAGAAAGGAGCAAATCAGAAAATATCAGCTTCTTCAAATTGGCCAACATAAATAAACACACAGAGAATATTTTAATATTACTTAGTATTGCTTCTGTAGTTTATCCTTTCCTCTCTTTTTTTCTATCAACAAACAGTAATATTAAGTTCTCAGAAAACCTCCACACAGGACAGTCAAGCTATTTGAAAAAGCTGATTCTTTGTATTTACAAATAAAGTTATAGTGATTTATGGCTCTCAAAGTTTTTTTTTTTTATTTTTTAAAAAGGTAGTATAACGAAACAAAGGTCAATTTCAAAAATGCATACAAAGTCCAAGCAAGCAATATTTATGTAATTTTATGGATGAAACTAGTGAATTCACAAGCAGGCAGTTACTCAATAGCAACTAAGTGGAGGCAGCCATTATTGTTATAGTAATATGACTTGTAGCAGAAGTGTTTGGCCAAATGAATGGAGCAGTTAACACAAAAAGGAAAAGAAATGTTGAGTTTATCTTTTCTACTGATTTAGCATTGAGCCATTATATTTTTGGAGAAAGATACGTCATTATTTACATCATTTGAAAATAGAAAAAGGAACATTTTTTTTTTTTTTTAATTACATTTTGTTAATAACTCAAAAATTAAGCTTTAAAAAAAAAAAAAAAAAAAAAAAAAAAAAAAAAAAAAAAAAAAAAAAAAAGGCTTTTTGGAACAATTCTCTCTCTCGCATACATGTGTCAGTAATTGAAGACATTCATTAAAAACATAAAATTCAAAATAGAGACACTAAATGCATGCATACACACAATGGGAAAACAGTATGCACATGAACTAAACTGCTTTTAAATCTAAAACACAACATAGAGTTCCATGTTTTTTTTTTTAATGACCTTTTCATAAGAGTATCCCCAACCTGATATAAAGGAAGCAAAAAACATAAAATACTTAGTATATTTTTTCTGTGTATATGCAAAGAAGAGACTAGTGTTAAAAGATGATAATTCAACAGCGGATAGAGATGGTTAATGAGCAGAATCAGTTAGCAGCACCTTTCTTCCCCTGACTATTTTGTCTTAGACCACAATGAAATTACGTCACCATATCAGACAAAACAAACACTTCATTACAGAGGGAGAGGAAAAAAAAAAAAAATTAAAAAATAATAAAGAATGGGGAATTCTAATCAAATCTCAATTTTGACAAACCAGTTATATTTTTTTCTTTGTTTCTTTATAGCCAAGAATAGTGTCCTGACCTATGCCTGTTGTGATGGCCAAGCTCTGGCAAAAGGCAGACACAGAACTGAATTCCATAGCAATCCACTGTCCCCGATGTGAGAGAATTAGCTACTGCAGTAAATGGCCTGGCCCACCTAGCATTGCCACTAGCAGCATTAGTGGAGACCAGTGACCAGCCGCTGGTCAGTGATGCTGTGTGGGAAGAGAGAGAGAGAGAGAGATAGAGAGGAGAGAGAGGAAAAAAAAAAAGAAAAAAAAAAAAAAAAAGATTAGTTAGTAGCTACATAATAATCCATAGTGATGAAGAACTGAAAGTGGATGGAGTTAGGGAGATGAGAATTCACCATGACAGCCTGTGCGTAGGAGAATCAATACTCCTTCCCTCTATTTTTATGCATTGAAAAATACTTATAATTGCTTGTAATGGGCCATCCAGACATATTTAACATTTTTTTTTTTTTTTTTTTTTTTAAAATGATTTTGGTTATTTACAAAATTAAAATATCAAGATTATAGAATTTACACAGATCAATCTGTGTGTAAGCAAGCATAAAAAAGTGAAGCAAAAATATTTGCATTCACTGAACACTAAATATAATAAAATAAAATCCTTACACATGAAGGAACCGACACACACTAAAAGCCTTAAGTTATCATTATACTTAAGATTGATTAAAAAAAATAAATAAAAAGCAGTTTTCTTTGTTATGGTTTTGTTACAGTGAAGAACTTTAGTGCAAGTTTCTTCCATATAAACAACATGGCGTACATAATTTTTTTTTTTTGAGATGAAATATAAAGCAAATAAAAGTGCCTAGTGTATTGCTTGTTAGAAATATATAGATTAAATCAAGCCTGTATCTTCTAGGGATCTGACCAATTTTATCTTGTTTTTATTTTACCATGCAGGCAAATTTGTCCGATTGATTCATTTAAACACAAAATATATTTTAGATTGTAAAATTTATTTTTTTTGCAAGTGAATATTGCATTCAGAATTTTTTGAGAAAAGATATTTTTCCAGATACAAAATCCTATTATTTAGTCTATAGTTGAAGTAAGGAGATAGATTCATACCTTTTCAAGGGTATTGTTGCATATAAGTGAATGCAATGAACCTGCTTTTGGTGATGAAGGAAAGAGTAAGAAATAAAGTTCTAATTGATTCGAATGTAATTGAAAAATATTATGCTTTTTACTTAACTAGCCATAAATCTACCAAATTGTATCATGTAAGATTGGCAGAATTAAAACAAATTGAGAATAAACTATATATATATATATATATATATATATATATATATATATATATATATATATATATATATATATATATACACACATTGATGGGGGAACTGAATATTTTAAGTAAAGTGAAGGGGGGGTCTTAATTTTCCAAAATCTCCACCTTCATTTGTTCAACAGGCAAGAGTAATTTCCCTCATTCTTTTTTCTTGTTTAATAAATGAAGAGGGTATTAAATTTTGAAAATTAAGAGCACATTTGATACGAGTACATACAAAATTAAGGAAAAGTACAACTTGATATAAAAAACAAGACGGAAATGTTGATAAAAATACACTTAATTATTTTAGTAAGGTGCAAATAAATAACTTGATTACATAAAAAAATAAATAAAAATCAAATTAATCATCAATGAATTTCAGCTTTTGATCTGATCATAAGTACTTCAAAAGGTTTATAAAAAGAATGAAAATAAACAGTTTATATTACAAAATTTTATATTGGAATTGAAATTTTACCGAGACTAATATATTTTAAAAAAATTTGTTAAAGATATTGAAAACTAATTTAGTTGTTAGACATTAACTAGATCCAACTGAAATCTAATAATAAATAGGTTTATTTCTTAAAGAAAACTGAAATCGAGTTACTTTTAAAATTATTATGAACATGACATGAATTTCATAATTACAGACCAGATATTGCACTGCTCACTTATGGAAATTATTTGTGTATTAAATAAATTTTAATATGAAAGATTAATAAAAAAAAAAAAAAAAATGATTTAATTTTTATTTTTTTTATTTTAAAACATTCCCTGTTAAATTCTTTTCCTGTTTACTCTTTTACCACTTAATATAGAGCTTTCAAAAGTAAATAGAAAATTTATCAACTAGCAATATAAAAAGCAGGAAATAAAAAATAATTGATATTCAAGTCAGTTGCCAACAAAGATTTAAGTTTAAAATAGGAAGGTCACTGATATAAAGCTGCACAAGATCTGTTTTAGAATAACATAAAAACAGTTCATTCACAGATATGAAAAAGACTGTTATTGTGTATCTAGTATAAACCAAGTAATCTGTGCAAGGTTATTGGAAATGTTTTAACAACTGAAAGAAAATATTCTAATAAACAACAGGATAAATTTTATATCATTTTAGGCTTATGTTGGACTGACTTTAAAAAATTTTTGACAAAGATGTTTGTGAAAAATAAGAATATTCTGATTAAACAAACTTTGAAGATAACTGAAATAAGAAAAATATTTGTTACATTTGCAAGCTTGAAATTATTGGGTTGGAACAAGATTTTGTAGTGTATTTCCCAAAATGATATTTGTACATTGAGCTATTCAACCATATATGTGCCATTTTGTTCTACTACTTAAGAAAAAAAAAAGTGTCTTCATGATATTATCCTTCCAGAACTTGGTATCTTTCTGGGTAATGAACTATATATATAAAATTACACACACAGGCTTCTAAGGATTGAAGTTCTTTCCATTAAGAAAATTTTGTAGGGATCAAAGTAATTGGTAATTTTACATATGCCAAGTATAGCAGGACATCCTAGCCAAGCTGTACAAATTTGGGTCAGATATGACATTGTCCTGATGAATGATGACACCCTTCCATTTGGCCAAAGGTTTTTCATCAATTGTTGCCTTTAATCAGTCCAATTGGGAACAGTACTTGTCTGAATTCAATGATTCATTTTGTAGAAGGAGCTCATAATGCACAATGCCCTTCCAATCACACCAGATGCACAGTATCATCTTCAGATGTTCTCTTGGAGTGGTTAACAGTGGTTAATTTTGTTTCACTTGAGACATTTTCTCTACACATTGCTGTAAAAAAAATACTTTTTTCATAGGCTGTGTGTGATTGCTCTTTTAAAAAATGGGCTGTTTGTGCAGAGAATCACAGATGGAAACAGTCCATCAGATTTTTCTCAATTTTTCTTGAGACAACCAAAGTGTTTCACATATTTAAGTGATTTAAAATGCATTACAACACTCATGTTATATATAGAGTATTTCTGTAATGCTCCATGTCATGTAACTATTATTTTAAAATCAGCATTTTGATCTGGTCATCAATGAATGCAGGCCTGCTGGAACATTCATGGTTTTTCAGATCAAAGTTTCCACTGCTGAAACAGTAAACTACTTAGAAATAGTACTTTCAGCTATGGCACTATTTTCATAAATGGTACATATTTTTGCTGTTTGTACTGGGTTTTTTCCCTTTAAAAAAAAAAAAAGACAAAAAAAGCATCTCCTTTCCTTCCATTAATTTGAATCCTCCACAAAATCACTCAAAACATTTGAAATCAGTTAATCCTTTAAGTCTAATTTGTAGAATTTTAAAAATGTCACAAAACAATTTTAGTTTGAGCTGAAGGAATATGAATATTGCTTATCCCTTAAGAAAAAAAAAACAATTTAATCCTCATAAATCAGTGTTGAATATAAAGTTGTGGCATATCAAATCTCATAGGAAGCTAAATAAATAGCAAAACAGGTTAAATTAATAACTATTTTACTACTTGTTCCTTATTTAATCATTTTGCTGAATTTAATCCACATCTTCAACTCATCAAACGAGTAAGTTTTTCAAAAGACTTCAGATTTAATTTTTGTGTTGCTATTTCATGTTTTTATGTTCTGGCACATTGAAACGAATATATTATGCAGCATGCAATTGTATTAAGCAAACAAAACTCATCTGCAAACTATAAAAAACAATTATATTTGCTTACATCAAAATGATGCTCAAGAAAAATGTTGAAATGCCAAACTTGAGAAAAAGATTTTTATGTTAGTAACATAATGATATATTGAAAAATATATTAAAATCCATTTGATTCTTAATTCAAAGTTGTACTTATAAAAGGATAAGAAACACTTAAAGTACTTGCTTGTATGGTGCACAACAAAGATGAAAATGTAGGAGAAAAGATAGATTTCTTACTTTCAAATGATCAATATATTGCTTCAGGACCAAAGTAGAGATAGAAGCTGGTTCCAATTCTTACAACAGAATAATGTTTGGAGTCTGAAAAAGTGAGAAAGAAAATGAATGAATAAACAGAAAATTGATTGGTTAGAAATAGGGTAGCTGATTCACAAGCATTTCATTTATTTCATAAAATTAAACATTTTGATGAGCAATTTTACAGCCATCAAAGAATGATACTGACTTAACTAATCAAGTACAAATTAATAAAGTCAATTGTTAAGTTGAATAGGTATTCAATCTGAACAAATGAATATAACAGGCATTTTTGCACATTATTCATGTCATGTCAGCATTTTCTAAAAAAAATTAAAAAAAATTTAAGGGTCTACTTTAACCCATTTAAGTATTTTTGAATGTAATCTGAAAAGGGAACAACCTTTCAATAACAAATGCTCACCTTGCAGGTTGTCTCTATACAGTAACTACAGTTGCTTTCTTTAATTATAGATACAAGTAAAGATACAAGAGTTAAGGCATCTAATAGTAAATTTTTTTAATGCAATACTCATCAATTAAAAATATATTAATTATAAATTGGCAAGAAGAACTAAAGGGAGTGTAAGCATAATTCATTTTTAAATGAAAAGTTAATGCAATATTAAACAGTTCAGAATAATTTTATGTAACAAGCCAGAAGTATCAACAGTTTGAGTAAGTAGAAAAACTGAAGCATTTAAGATTAATGTTTCTACATATCAACAAATTAGTAAATTGATAAGGAAAATATTCAGCTATGAAAGACAAATTCAAATTAAATGATAGTAGGCTTACAAATGATCTGTAACTATTCTTAATGGAATTCCTTTTATTGAATTGATAATTGGATAATGTCTACCTGAAAATTTTTTTGGCTTCTATGTCATATTTAAGATACAAGTTTTATTACACTGTGTATTCCAGAATGTGTGTAAATATACATATAAATGTATATGGAAAACATTTCAATGAATTTCTAATTAAGTGTTGGCTTTTCTCTGACTACAGTTGTAGCCAGAATAAACAAAATGGTAATCTGTAGGTGAAATAATTGCTGAAGACAGTGGATGAGGGAATATTTGCCAGTCAAACAGAAATCATTTTTGCCTGATCATTAAAACTTTGTTTTCATTTAACTAATTCTGAGCTCTTTACTGCTCCTCCACTCCAATTTCTGCCTTCAACTGGTCTAACTAGATTCAGTACTTGTTTGAACCAACTGTTTTTCCAAAGAACTTACAGTAGAGAATTCCCTTCAACCCCCATTAGATATATAGCAACATTTTGAATCAAGACTGACACTTTATATAGCTAATGGTAGCTTATTTCACTTGCCCCACAATCTCTTGTATCCTTCAATTGTTGCTAATTATCCAGTTTTCATTGATGAAAAACAAGTTGCACATTAAAAAGCCACACATCAAAACCAATTGATATAATTAAGATCAAACTGGTGCAAATCTTCTCCATACATTGCATAAATCTTTTTTTGCATTTGAGTTGCATTTTTATCTTAAGAGTACAAACTGAAAATTTGTTCTTGCCTTCATTGTTAGAATAAAAAGTGTACTCATTTTGATAAAATTGTCTAAAAATACACACCAACACATCTGTTACAATACAATCATAAGAAATCTTTGAATTAAATTAAAACTAAAACATTCCTAATGCCATCTAATAACACAAAACATTTTTCCTAATACTAAACAGGCAGCAAAATAAAATTTGAAATATAAGTCTAAATTTCCACACAAAAATGGAAAACATTTTTTCATAGTATTTCTCAAAATCAACACTCCGTTGATTAATTTATTTTCAGAGGGTACCATTTGTAAACAGGTTTCATTCTAAACTAAACACTATTTTTAAAATAAAAAATGTACTACTTTCCACTTAAGATTTACATATTTTCAAAACTGTTTCATTTTAGTTCTAAACAATTCACCAATAATCTGAAATAACTGATCCTCGTGTCAAGTAAATGAAAAAAAAAAAAAAAAAAAAAAAAACGGAAGCGTCAAAAGATTTGTAACAATTTGTATGTATAAGAGTTTAACAGTGACTAATGACTAAAATATAAAAAGCCTTCTGTATTTATTAACTAATCCTACTATTTTATTATTTCAAAGATATTAAGCCCGTTAAAGTAATAACCTAAATCTGTCAGTCAGCATTTCTAGATCTCTCTTCAATAAAAGCAGACTGACAACAAATGCACTGTACACATTTAAAACCTTGTCAAAAGCTGAAAGATTAAAAGAGCCAATCACTTTCAGTATCAACAACTGTACACAAACAATGTGATATATAGATAAAGGACATGCTGCACAGGTACTTGGCTAATCAGCAACAGATAGCAAATAATTATTTTACTGATTCCAGCAAGATAAGCAAGAATATCTAATTGTCTCAACTGAACACGACAACCAGGAGTTTCAACTTGAAAAAAGATGCACTGCAAAGATTATATAATTATTTTTTGTTTTAATAAAAATATGAATTAATAATTATATCTGACACATGAATATCTATATAGCTTACAATGTATTAAAAGAATTATATTAAAATTCAATTAATAATAGATATAAAATCTGTAAAGAAAAATTGTAAAGAGATTATTTAAGCATGTATCTTTTTCCTGTTTAGTTGTGTGCAATCTTAGAGACAATAATTGCTTACTATTTTCACAATGTAAGATTTAAAATGTATAGGTTTCAATTAATGAATATCACCTTTGTGTAAGCTTCACAGCTCTTACGGATACAATCGAAATTTCTAGGGCACATAATGAGGAAAGGAGGCTTGGAGAATTTGACACTCACAGGACATATAGCACGTGAGAGAGATGAAAACCATAAATAACCTACCTAATGGTTGGTAGAACAGGGAATAGGAGAGATAGCAAAAAGAAACCTTACTAAGAACAGGAAGTTGCAGAGAAACATTTTTACCCATGTTCTGAAGAGACACAGGAGACAAGATTTATAATAACCAGTGATAACAGAAACTTATGTTCCAGAAACAGTATCTGTCAACAATGATAATGTATATGTTTTTTTTAATATTCTGTTATTGCATTTTATAAAAACATTCTAAAATAAAATGTGTTTAAAATTAGTATCCAGTTATTGCTAAAAAAATTTTCTGGCACAGATGTCTATAAGTCATGTGAATGAAAGATTTTTGGCCTGACTAAGGAATATTCTTAAGAAAACTGGAGGTCTGATATGGCCAAATTTTGAAAGTGAGCTAGGCTGAGAATCCCCCCCCAGGGGAACACTTTGGTATTTTTCTTTGAACAAAAGGATACTGATAAAATAGTTAATGATTTTTATTGCAAACAATATAAACTGATTAGGGAATATTTGAAAGTAAATTCCTATAAAAATAAATGTTCTAAAATACAGCTTCAAATTTAAATAAAATCTGAATTTTTGTTTCCTAAAAAGTAATTTAATCATTGCATAACAACTATTTTTAAATAGTCTTTAAATGTCTAGAAAAAAAGTACAAGGAAAATAAAAAAAGCTGAAAGATTGTATTAGGTGCATAAAAGCTCATTGTTGCCATAAAGTTAAATTAGGTAGCTCTAAAACAGTTTTTAAATTGCTATTGGCAGAAGGAATAACTGTAAATACTGCATATCATAGGTTAATTTTGTAACTTTTATATTCACTTTTTCTTTTTAAGTTTCAGTATTTGTTGCCCTTCTATCAGAGAAAATGTTTTTATTATTTTTAAGTTTAATTAAAAATCTGTTCTCAGATAAATGCATTTTGAGATTGTAAAGAAAAGACATCTTTATTGTACTTTCAAATTGAACAGAGTAGAAAATAATCAATTATCTCTTCCAGTTTTTTGGCAGATTTGTTGGAACATAGGTTATGTTCCAACAAACTCTTAGAATTAAAAGTGTCTAGATATATAGACATCATATGAAAAGTTAAACTTTCTAAAATAAAAGGTAATAATAGCTTATATTAAGAATCCTAATTTTATTTATGTTAAAATAAAGTGTATTCTTATTAATAGAAATTAATAGAGATTTTGTTTGATTTGACAGCAGAATAAAGGAAAGATCAATATTATCACCATTAATATCTATAGTGTTGTCAGTTATCCATATTTTTAGTAAAGCAGTAAACTGTATCATAGTATACCTTTCAACATGGCTAGTCTCACTCATAAACACAAAGAAAAAAATTTACAGGAAAAACTAACCTTTCCACTACTATGGTTTCACTACTTTTGGTATCTCCAGGCAATAAGCTTATGGTTTAGAATGGAGGTGAAATGGAAAGTCAAACTTACAGTCTGAAGATAACAGTGGTGTTGAAACTGCAATAGCAGAAAGGTTAGTCTTCCTGTGAAATTTTAAATGTTAAATTGATGTGTATTTTTTCTGTTTGAATTTGAAGAGCACTTAAAACAGCTTTTTGACAAACAGTTAATTTTCCAGTTTGTTTTTACTGAATTATACATATAAAAACAGTGTTATAAAACCATTATTAAGTTTCATTGAAATGTGCAATCATCAGTTGCTATATAACACAGATGTATCAAAAAGCAACACCCTTCATACAAATTTGCATACAACCTCTGTATTTACCAACCTCCCTAAAAGGCAAGATGTGGCACAAGGCCAGTTTTTAATGTGGGGTGTTCTGAGCCCGTAGGCTCGGGCAAAAATTGCCCATAAACCCTGTATACATGGGGTCAGGTTTGTCTACCTACTCAAATGAGAGATTGCCCTTTGGCATAGCATTATCTGGGTTCCTCTCTACCTGGAGGCAGAGAGTTTGATAAGAGAGGAAGAAGAGAAAGCCTCCTCCTCCTCATTTACATGTTTAAATTTCAACACTGCCAATCTCAACTTGTAGCAAGCAGATTCTGACACTAATGTAAATCTAAGATATATGAAGGGCTGCTAAAAAAGCCTTGGCTCGACCAAATGATCCAATATTAGAATTTATTTTGGAATCCTTCCTTGGTCAGACTAAGAATATTTGATTGGGGGGTGGGGTGGATTCTCATAACACAGACAAATTTCAACCTAACTC